CTTTCGTTGCAGTTGTATGTCTTAAATGTAATGTAAATGTTGCCTTCGTGTTAGTGTTAATTTCGTTGACTAAATCTATGACGAAATATGTTCGTCAACGACCTTTTTTTCCATGACGAAAACGAGACGATGACGAGACGGCACCGACGGCAGTAAACAATAACTGTAACGAAATCATCATGCAATATCGTTGACGAAAAGTGACGAGACGAAAATGTAGTTCACTAAATAAAAACTATGCCAAAATCTCTCTTTACTTTCGTTGACGAAAAATGAGGAGACGAAATATTATCAAAGATAACGTTACATCTCTGATAGTCAGTTTTTTCTCCCAGCAGTTCCATTTCCGGGGCTGCAGGGCAGCAGCTGTGTGTCTGTGCGGCGGTAGATTTGAATTACACCGGGCAGCGGCACAATATGAACTGTCAAGAAGACTCGGGTCTAACTCATGGTCTAACTAACCTTATTTAACAGAAAATGAAATGGCAACAGGGCTTGGGAGCAGTGGTCGCACTCGCGTTAACCGAATACCCCCCCGCCAGCGCGAGTGATTAATAAATTGTGCACTCGACGGATAATAATGGATTATGACGGAAATGTTACGATCCGTCAAAATGACTGAAAACGAAAAAGTCTAAAGCCACCACTGCTTGGGAGAAAGAAACGATGTGATATTTGGGCCCATTTTCGCTACAATGAGGCGGAGAAAAAAAGCGAATGCATTGTTTCATCAGAAGGGAAGCAATGTGGCCAAAACACAGCTGGTAAAAACACCACAAACCTGACCAGATACTCTCTGCAAAGCTTCTTAATCATTCAACCTGTGTTTTTCATCAAATAAGGACAAGATATAATCTTGTTTATTTATATATACTAAAATGACAAATTATTGGTTTTGGCTAGACTAGTTTGACTGAAATGTTCTATATAATCTGATGACTAAAAAAGACTCAACAGTTTTCATTGACAAAAAGTAGACTAAAATAATTAGTTTTCTTTGACTAAAATATGACTAAAATGCTCAGACTTTTAGTCGACTAAATCTTGACTAAAATGTTTACTGTTTTAGTCGACTAAAATAAGACTAAAATGCTCAGACTTTTAGTCGACTAAAACTTGACTAAATAAAAACAGGATGAAGGTGACTAAATATGACTAAAACTAAAAAGGAAATTTAACACAGGACTAAGACTAAAACTAAATTAAAAAATAGCTGACGAAATTAACACTACTTCGTGTGTGGTTCGGGGCCATCTTCGTGCGAAATTCACAATTCCATATTCGTGTGTCCATCGGGTGTCAATTTCGGGACAGTGTGACAGGGGCTTAAACGGTATTAAAAAACCTTTCAGATTCGGAGATAATAGATAAAATAAGTGCAATAACTGTATTGGAAATGTTCATTATCAAAATAACAGAATGGGATATATGTATAATAATATTCAGAGAGACTTTATAACTCTGAAACCTGAACTAGCTTGATCTAAAAAATAGTTTTTATTAAAGAGTTGTTAAAGTCTTGAACGGTCAATTAGAGTCTGGAAATTAACATTGTAGTGTAGGGGAGAAGAATTATATTGAAAAAACACTATTTCAAAGTTAAAAGTGACATATGTTGGTATTATAATTGTATTATGATGCTATTAAAGGTGGGGTAGGTAATTGTGGAGAAACCAGCTCAAGTGCACTAGAATTTGAAAATACACAACCGGAGAAATTCTGCCACTTCCTTACAGAGCCCCTCCTCCAACACACACGAACGCGCACATGACCAATGAGGGCACGAGATAAGTTTGTGCACAGATGGAAGGCTGACAGGCAGGTAGGCCATCCAGTTACTTTAGCCGGCTCAGATGATTGGTCGTGCTTTTTACAGTACTACTGCTTCCACAGATGACATTTTTTATGGATTTTTTGTCAAAGCACTTCAGATATTCATTGCTATCGGGATGTTAAGAGCATTCCATGGAATATAACAAAAAGTGTATCTCGAGCCGGTTTCTCAAACTTACCTACCCCACCTTCAACTATTTTGATAGATCAATAAAACCTCAAATATATCAATATAATAATAATAACTGTCTATTTGTTTAGCTTAATTTCAAATAACTAGATAAAAGGTTTAATTGTTGAGTACTTTTTAAAAGCAACTTTACACATTTCTTCAAAAATAAATAGACAATAACACTTGAAATACTTAACTAGCAGATATACACAAAGCATAATATTATAACAATTGTATTACATGAAAAGCATGAGTTACATTATACACAAGGTCTGAATAGCAACTAAATTGAAGAATAAAATATGCTTGAAATGTTAAAAATAAGCGTTTCATTATTGAAAGCTGGCATATCTAAATTAATGTATGCAAGCTGTTATTTATTTTTTCTATATCTATGTATTGCTTTGTGTATATCTCTATGTTTCTGTGTACTGGCTGTAAAACTAAATATCCCTCTGGGACAATACATCTAAATCTTGCTCAGAGGTGTCAGCGTTCAGTTTTCCACGTTCAAAACAAACCCTAAAAGAGGATGTTCTACAAACTAAAAGCATGAAAGACGATAACAAAGTAAATAATATTCCTCTCAGTCTTCTTGCAGTACTTAATCAATAGTCAGTGGCAGGAGATCCATAACCTCTGAACAGCACGTAGAGCAAACGACATGACCAATTGTAAAAGCTGGATTTTGTATTTGACTATCAACTGTTGCACCCAAACAGAGCCTAATCAATTCCTCCAGTGACTCAGGGTTTCTGTAATCAACACCAATAATTCAGCGGCTCTGTTTACATACACTTTCATCTCGTGCTGCAAACAGCTTCATTGATTAACAGTGAGAGTTATGGGCTTATTTCCATGATTACAGCTCTTAGAAAACACTGGGCCTGCCTGGAAGTGCTGATTGGGCCTCAGTCTGCGATAAACATATATCCGTCAGAGCGGGGAATGAATCCATTGCTTTGCTGACTCCACAGTCCACACTTTGTCTTAGCGCTGAGGCTCTCTATCCATCAGAGGAGGTGAAGTAGCTGTTGCATTAGCATCTATTCCCTTCACTCTATCACCGCTGCATCACCGCGTATATTAAAAGAGAGGACATGAGATCAGGGGAGCCAGAGAGAGGTCTCAATGCATCCAACAGCTATTATTTATATGATATTTAACCCTTAATAACACCAAGGAGGTTGTTGTTTCATCTTCGTTTGTTTGTCAGAAGATTGAAAATAAGGGTAAGGGCCAGATTCTCGGAAGGGTGTAGCATGGGTCAAGAATGGACCAATTACATTTCAAGCTGATCTGGATAAATAATGTTTTGCTTCCTTAGCATTGTGCTACAGGCCATTTGTGCTGCATTCATATGGTGTGACTTCCCAACTGAAAATGTATAATGAGTCAGAAAACTATTTTTTTGGCTTTTTTTGGCTTTCACAGACTTGCCGTCAAATGTTGGAGAAAAGTCAATGTGGGGTTGATGAATCTCAGCATTAATGTTCTTTAAAATGTCTTCGTAGCTTCCAATTTTGTTTGTTGAAGTCGGAAAAATAACTTCCCAACTTAAAGGTCACCTATCATGCTATTTTTAGGCAATAGCATAGGTCTCAGATATATAAAAAACATGTCTATGAAGTGTTTTGCTCAAAATACCAAACAGATCCCCCATTCTAGCCATGCCTCATATCCCTCTATTTCACTTCCTGTTTCAAAAGTGCTGATTTGGGGATAAAGCTTTAAAAAAAAAAAAAGATTGCTAAAAAATTAAAAAGGAGGGGTCTGAGCTCATGCGGGACCCGGCAGCTACTGTCTAAACTAAATACTGCCGTGATGAAACGCCATATCATGGATTATCAAGGATTCTCTCTGAAACAGTCTGGAGCTCAAAGGCTTTCTCTCTTGCCGGTTATACCACAAGGTGAGTTCCTTTTTACTTCCTGCTTCTTCACACACATGCTCTCCAGTACAGGTTAGCTCTGAGTGTTAGCGATGCTAATGTAAACACCGACCATATTACGTCCAAAACAGTCGGGCATTGTTTCTGATAGCAACGTTTCTGATTGGGCCGTGGGTCCACATTTCAGATATTACGTCATATCGGACGCAAATCTGGATCAGCTCCGTTGTTCCCCGTTTTTAGAGATTTGGGTACGGAGGAAAAGAGAGAGGGTTTTATGTTCTGACGCTGCGTGAGTTCCCTGACACACCGGGGACACATGTTGATGTATAAAAGACATCAAAAAGTGCATTTTGCATGATAGGTCCCCTTTAAAGAAGGTCTGCGTTCTCCAAGGGACAGTGCAGATAGTAATAATATAAACCATACAGCTTTCCTATTGCCAGTGGGGAAACTGAAGTACAATATGTGTGCAGGTCGTGTGTTCAGAGCTAAAATAGTGTGAGGAAAATTCACTAGCTCTTAATCTTGTTGGTGTGGTAACAGAAGCACAGCCAAGGCTTTCAAACAGAAAAAAGGATGGACAAAAAGACACTAGTCTTTTGTGGTATGTCACGCCAGAAGAACCTTTAATTGTACATATATCCCCAGTATTCAACAGCCACACAATGGGATTGTCACATAATCAACTCAGTGAGAAAGCTGCATAAAGGTTACCCCGGTCAGAGGAGTTTGTTGTGGAAGATGGTAAACAACTTGTTTTACAGTAATGGTTTTTTTTTCTAGATAAGGGGTGCACGGTTATATCAGGATAGTAATTGTATAGCACTTCCACATTTAAATAAACAGACTACTGTCTTAAAAATAAGGTCCTTTTTTACCTGAATTTAGTGCATTTTCCTTTGGCCGTTTGTTGTTTCAGACTTTCCTACTCTGGCATACAGACCAAAGTGTTGTCATTTGAAAAGTCAACATTGGATTTTTGTAGTCTTGACTTGCATGGACAATATCACCCTTTTACCGTCTTTTCACTCGAAAAACATCTTCAATGATCATGCCTTGTGACATAATACAGTACAAACAAGTAGCTGTGCAGTTGCTCACCTGGCCATTGCCACTCCAAACACGCATCCTCCGACAGTCGACCAGAAACCAATCCAACCGGCGTCCACCTGTGTGTCAGATAAGAAAAGCAGGAGGGCGGGGAAGAGTGGAAGAAGAAAGGAGAAGAGAAGGTTATTCAGTGTTCAACATGCGTACTGAGACAACACAGCTGGAAAGAAAACAAGAGCAGTCTGTCAATCAGCGGTGAAACTATGAGAACAGCTGTGTAAGTGTGTTGTCCTTTCTTATTCACACCGAGGAAAGCCAACGCATACAATTGGCCTTAATGTCAAGAGAAAGGACGATATGGATAAGGGACCGCAGCAGAATCAATATGAGGTAGAGTGTCGCACATGTGCATACAAACACACACATGGACACACAACCAATCAGTGTGTAGGACCCAGGCGAGAATGTCTTCGAGTGCCAGTGAAGGTGTTTGGTTCCCATCAATCTCCCCGAGGCAATAACTCACATTCAACCAAATCCAACCAGATGGAGGATGAGACGGCGAGGGAGCAGAATCTCAAGTAGGATCTGAAGCATTTTGTTTAATCATGCTCTGCATCGACCTGTCATGAAACTCTATAAGGAAATAGAGAAATGAAAAGTGGACTACCAAAGTTATTAATTGTAAAAATGTCTAGTGGCTTATGGCGCATTTCCACTACAGCACGGAGCGCGGTTTAAGCGTGACGTGCCCGGGCTGTTTTTGGTTGCGTTTCCACTAGGCGTAGTACCGGCTAGTGGGTACTATTTCACAGTTTTTCTGGCTCCATAAAATCGAGGTTCTCAACAACCAGGCTGAGTCGGGCTGAGTATGCTAAACTAGAGAGAGAATCGCTGACAAGGGAGCTACAACTACAACAAGATGAACATATTTAACCGTGATTTAATTGTAATACACGTTTCAAAATGATGCCGAAGTACCAACATACTGATACCGGTTAGTAAAAACCATGAAAAATGTTTCTGTATCGTGCTGCCTGCCCGTATTTTCTGAATGGAGATCGGCTAAGCTAACGTTGTATATGCTCCGACCGTCCACACTCACAACAACGGCCTATACAGACATAAATAAACCAGCGACTGTATTCTCCATGACACAGACAGTCTGTGGTTTGTACTTTTGTCTAGTTTCTGAACTGATATGAGGAGCTGTGAGCTCTGAGTGCTAAGAGCTAACGGCTGATGTTAGTTTTGTGGTTCGCATTGAAGATGACGTCACGGCTCTGCCTACACTGCGTTACTATAGTTACTGCCCCAGCTACTAAACTGTAATGGAAACACAGCATAAAGTGAGCCAGGCCTAACGAGGCCTAGCCGTACTAAGCCGAGCGAGGCCCTGCAGTGGAAATGCGCCATTAGTAAGTGATGAATGTCATTATGTTTTCAGTTTGGCAGCTTGGTGAAGTGAATGGCCAGGAGGAAAAAAAACGATTGATTCACAAACATTTTACCCACAACCTAATTTTACCTGTACTTGCTGCTTATTATCCATGAAGGTTGAGCAGCACCAGTGCCAGGGTTTCTAAGGCGTATAATGTCACGTCAATTTGTGCACCAATTTAGCAAATTGCTTGCCAAGCCATTTCAATTCCTGGATGCAAATGACTGTGTTTGATGTGTGGGTGGTAAGTTAATTAACTGCAGCATTCTTATGCCCCTTTCACACCAGCGCTTTTTCAGCTCCGGCTCGGAGCTGGAGCTGGAGCCTGAAAAGCGCCGGTTTTTCCTGTTCACACCGCAGCGGCGCCGGCTCTTAGCTCCGGAATCGGGTTCACTTCCAGCTCCAAAAAATTGTCGGTCTAGAGGCAAGAGCTTCGGAGCTAAGAGGTGGCGTTGCTTACGTCTCTCTTACGTCGAGGCGTGCAGGAAACTAAACCCACCTCCCCTGAACATGGGTCGACTGTCATGCCTGCCTACAAGCAGAGTGCTTATAAACACACTTTATAAAGTCAGGCAACACTAACCAGGCTTCGTGTGATTCTGTTTATTTGTACCTTACTTTGACCATCCGTTCATTATTATTGATCATTGTGGAGAGAGGCAGACGTGTTGTTTTGTATTATAGCAGCTATCGGATGGAATCAATACATGGGCTGCACAGGTTGTCGTGTCCGACTATCACAAGTAGAATCATAATAAAAATACGCCGGTAAAATGTGCCTGTAGAAAACGGTTTATGCCACAATAGGATAGCAATAGCAAGTAGTCAGTTTAGCTTCGGTTGCTATGCTAACATCACCCATTGTATACCAGAGGAACTTTCATAACAGCGTTGTGATACCAAACAGCGTCAATTCAGACTGACACACATTCACTTAGGCTAAGGGGAACTGGGGATATGTATCAGCTGCTTGTGTGAGTCCGACAGTGAATACTTTAGAGCGGCCGCAGCAGTGTGAGCTAACCGGGAGCTAACGGGAGAATAAACTCCCGTAGAAGAGCAGCCAACACTGCAGCGGTCGGTAAATGCTGCAGAAACACATGAATAAACAATGAACCAGAAACACATGAATAAACAATGAACCACGGCACTCTGGAGAAAAGTATAAGGTTGGAGAAGTCGTTATTCAATTTAATCTGGCTTCGTGTGATTAAAAGCAACACGATCATCGACCCGACGCAGTTCCCCGTTGTTGTTGTTGTGAGCGCCGTAATGCCGTTGGGGAGCAAATCAACGATGTAAACGGTGACGTCATGACGCAGCAGCGGCAGCACCAGTCGGGTGCTGGGCGGTGTGAACAGAGCGGGAGCAGAAAAGGGAAACCGGAGCTGAACCAGAAAAGCTCCCGCTCGGAGCTAGAAAGGGAAAAGCGCTGGTGTGAAAGCCGCATTGTGCCTTGGAACCCTAAAAAGAGGCCAGATTTGAAGCGTAATCATATCTGCTGTATTGCGATTGTGTCAATAAGCTTACAGATGACTGGTGAAGGGAAGCCAGGACTCAATACTCTTGACACGTTAATGTGTTTTTTAGCTATTATGTCTTCCTCTCTCAATGTATTGCTGTGCAGATCAAGCCAATATTCAAATGTCCTTATCTTAAGCTTTGGTTGTTCATGGTATTGTTACACCAACGCACTTCATGTTATCCCAGAAAATGCTCTGAAGTGCTTCATGTGAAGACAGAGGATGCATTGTGAGTAAGTTCGACAGTATTTAAGAAATTCACAAGTGACTTTGTAAGGAATAGGAAAGCAGTGATCAAACTAAAATAAGTTCTGTGGATGCTAAATGGCTTCTTGGGGTTTTCCCTTTCTTGTTATATAGATTTGTGTGCATGTAAATGGTCTGCAAAGGCTACAATCCAGAAGTTCCTATGTAACACTAAGGGCGGGATATCTCTAGGCTGTTGACCAATCAGAGCAGACTGGGCTCTGGTTTCAGACAGAGGGTGAAAAGAGGTGCTGCAGCACAGGCAGTATGAGAAAAATAAAGAGCTTTTTGAACGTTAAAGCATGGAGACATGTAGAGACACTACATACTGATATACACCTGAACATCAGCAGGAGAGGACTCTTTAAAGTAGAGACACTACATACTGATATACACCTGAACATCAGCAGGAGAGGACTCTTTAAAGTAGAGACTCTACATACTGATATATACCTGAACATCAGCAGGAGAGGACTCTTTAAAGTAGAGACTCTACATACTGATATATACCTGAACATCAGCAGGAGAGGACTCTTTAAAGTAGAGACACTACATACTGATATACACCTGAACATCAGCAGGAGAGGACTCTTTAAAGTAGATACACTACATACTGATATACACCTGAACATCAGCAGGAGAGGACTCTTTAAAGTAGAGACACTACACACTGATATACACCTGAACATCAGCAGGAGAGGACTCTTTAAAGTAGAGACACTACATACTGATATACACCTGAACATCAGCAGGAGAGGACTCTTTAAAGTAGAGACACTATATACAGATATACACCTGAACATCAGCAGGAGAGGACTCTTTAAAGTAGAGACACTACATACAGATATACACCTGAACATCAGCAGGAGAGGACTCTTTAAAGTAGAGACACTACATACAGATATACACCTGAACATCAGCAGGAGAGGACTCTTTAAAGTAGAGACACTACATACTGATATACACCTGAACATCAGCAGGAGAGGACTCTTTAAAGTAGAGACACTACATACTGATATACACCTGAATATCAGCAGGAGAGGACTCTTTAAAGTAGAGACACTACATACTGATATACACCTGAACATCAGCAGGAGAGGACTCTTTAAAGTAGAGACACTACATACTGATATACACCTGAACATTTGCGTAAAAGGGCCCCTTTAATTAAGGAAACATTTTAGCACAGCATGGCACCTGTTTCCTGAGTCACACTTGCATTAAATCCCTGTTAACACTATCTTTAACAATCCCAGTTCCAAGTCAAATCTAAACCAACAATTACACACCTGAGTGTTTCTACTTTCACCATCTTTGTTTCTGTTTGTCTGACTTCTGTCCTGGTCTCACCCCAATTCCCACATCCTACTTATCACAGACCCAGTTTTCGCGGACGCCGTCAAAACATAATAACTGCAGGAAAAATGACTGCCTGCATTTGAGAATAATGCACAATCTCAGGTGGAAAATTGAAACAAGGTTGGCAAAGCAATCACTGAGATGTGCTTCTGTCAAAGAAAACTGCTCAATTAAGTTGTTTTTATTTATTTTTCTGGCCAAGTGGCAGCCAATATGTCTGCAGGGCTGAAGTCAATGGGGAAAGGCCTGGAGAAGGGCAGTGTTATTCTCACTTCAACACTATCTGGGTGGAGGTAAACTCTTTCACTTGGGGCAGCAGCTCACTCTGCAACTCCAGAGGGGAATATGAACCTGGCAGAGTCATTTAGCATCGGACTTGTAGCTGCTGTATTTCATCCAAACGACTTTATACTCTGTCACACGACGCCCAGTGCAAGCCAGGCGCCAAGAGGACTAAATCACCGGCGAAAAGCAGAAATGAAAACCTGAAGGCATCACGAGTGCACTCTCTACTCCTCTGCTTTAAACTACGGATGATTCACATGAAAAT